GCAAGGAGCATCCAGACACACTTACCAGCATGAACAACCTCGCGCTTGTACTTGGGAGCCAGGGGAAGTACAAGGAGGCCGAGCGGATACACCGGTAGGAATTAGGCTTGAGTGAAAAGGTCTTGGGCAAGGTGCGTCCTGGTATACTTGAGTAAGAAATCCGTGTGGTGTGTTTGAGAGCAGGGCACATTTGTTTGTTGCTTTACTCACTCTTTCTTATTCTCTTATATTTTCTTCTCATAGCGTGCCACAGGAAGGGTCTGGGAGGGCGAGTTACTATATAGTTATCCTTTAATTCTACTATATTCTACTGTTTTCGGTGTCTTTCTCTGCCGGTAAGTTGGCTGGCTGGGAATATTGACTTGCCACAAGCTAACCCAGATAGGAACTAGTAGCCTATTCAATCCTCTAGAGGTGGCCAGGCTCTAGCTGAATGATCCTTGTTGAGCCACCTAGCGGACTCAACGGGCTGAGAAGCGGAATACGATCCACTCCTATGCATTGTAACATCGGGGCATTAACTGTGATAGGTTCGACTTGTCCCTGCAAGTGAGTTTTATATAGCTCCAATGTCTATAAGTCCTAGGTAGGTTCCTGAAAACGTACTGAGGTACTATTAGGCTTTTTTATCTTAGTTTAATAGATATAAACCTACCTTATAGAAACGAGTCTGAGGGTTCTAGGAGATGAGCATCCTAACACGCTGACCAGCATAGGCAACCTGGCGTCGATGTACCGGAACCAAGGCCGGTAGAAGGAGGCCGAGCGCCGGGCTAGGGCCGGTACTCGCAGCACGAGCACGGCAGGTCGTTGAGTCCACATCGCTACATTCTCGCTGAAGACTCCTCTTAGGCCGAAGAGACCGGCCTACGGTGTAGCCGTCAAATTTGACCTGGTTGAGGACGGCGGCCCGTGGGGTCGGCATCCTTTGACACATATGAACACGAAAGCGGCCATTAGCCTAGACGTGTAGAGGAGGTCACAAACACGTTTGGTTGGCTAAGAGCGGGTTCGCAACGCGTTAGTGAAAGCGTGGTCACAACAAAGCGACATTAGATTCACACCACAGCAAAAGTCGGAAAACGGAATTGGAAAACGGAGATGTGAAAACTGAGCGTGGACACGTTCCCTACCGTTTCAATCATCAGAAAACGTTTCTTCACGTGACCTGAACTTTGCTGAGTCAGCAACACAACCGAAAATGAAAGTGAAATACTAGTTCCAGATTCATGTTCACGGCCTCCCCACAAAAGCGACATCTTCTTGTCTTCGTTGTTGTTCAAAGGGGGCGGTTTCTTGTCCTCAGAGCGACCAGTTTTGGACCCTTTTGAGCGGATAAGGAAGATTTATATGCAAAACCTACGCACCTATGGGCACAACCTGCCAAATCCTACTTGATATTCACCAGCCTGTACCAAGGTTTCTTCCCAAACACACCCTTAGCTATCCATTCCACAGGCTCAACGAAGCAACCGTGCCTTTCTTCTTCGTAGGTCTGGACGTTTTCGCCCGGCTTAGCACCAACGCTGCAGCGCAGGTTGTTGCTGTTGTCTTTGTCGGGGAAGGCTGGGTTGTGTGACGAGTTGTTGATACGGCAGACGTAGGTGTACTCGCCTCAGCCAATGCGTTGGCCGTTGACGTCGAGCAGAATCTTGAGAGATGTAGTGTGCCTCGCTGTCCCGAGCCGTTTGGAAAGCGCCGCAAGACTCGGATAAGTTGCCTCCGGCCTGTATGACATCCTTGAGATCCATCACTCATACGGCGACGGAGAGCGGCAGAGCACACGCTGGTGGTATGCGCAATGCGAGTCATACACACACCTGTACCTCCTCCAGAATTCCTTCTTGAGGCCATTTCGGCAATCTCCTGGCGCGCGTATTGGGTTGGAAAACTTAACCCAGTAGCACTCGACTATCCAGGTCTTGTAGACCTCATCGCAGAGCGGCGAGTCGCAGATGTAGCCCTTCTGGTAGCACATAGTGAATATTGCGGTGCACTCTGAGGGTCCGTGATAGTTCTTCTCTTTCTTGGGGCCGGTAAGACGATGCTGGGTGGAATAGCTGAACCAGTAATACTAGGTAGTAGTGCTGTAGAATGCTCGGTGCCGTGTACGAGTACTTGCCACGGGAGGAGGTTCTTCAAAAAGCCCGAGATGCCGAAGCAGCTGGAAGGGAAGAACTGCGCCAACTCGAGCAACTTAGAGTTGTGTTTGGTTTAAAGATCTAAAACGGGCGAAGGGCATCCGGAAAATCTTTGGGTTCTTTAACTTAAGCAAAACATAACAGGTCATATTGAACGATGGCAGCCAGACAGTTCGGTCTGATGTGTGGCCACCAGGTGTGATAGTGAAGGGAACTGGAAGCGTCACGGCTGGTCAGGCGACCTGACTTCAGGTTCTTCACCGAACTTATTTGTTCTCGGCCATCTTGCTAGACATGTGGAAGGCAACAGACCTCACTACACAGTTATCTGTGTTGAAATTCAGGGGCAGAGACCAAAAGCCATCTTGTCACAGGACGAAGTACAGTACACCTGGAAGCAGGGATCTAACTGAACTGTATCCGCTTATTCAAGCTGTCTCTCGGGTATTAAGATGATTGTATTCAGCCTTGAGTAGTTGCCCCAGGGCCCCGTAACCGTGTTCTTCTTGAACAATCTGAAATGGAAGGCGTCGTACTACCAAAGAGCAGGGGAAAAGCTCCTAAACACTCAACGCTATGCTGTTCATTGACGCGATTCCATTTTACCTGAAAAATGTCAATCACAACTATACCGGAAACCGTAGATGCCTTCAACTTCGACGGTAGCATAGATGTTAAACGCAATTGCATATCAGATAATGAAAACCGGATGTACACCAACACGAGTCTCCACAAAACAAAACATGTAACCCAACTCTTCCCTGAAACCTGGTATGTTGGTCGGCGTCACTTGAACAGCCCTGGGCGGCCCTTCTTGAAAACCCCCAGTGAAGAAGGCGAACTTCCTCAATCAATATCATATTCCGGGGCAGCCTCAAGATCGCAGTCAAGATGATGCTCTGCCCTACACATAAGGACGACCTCCCTTTTGGCAGTTTCTTCCGACGTGCCAGGGCCGGCATCCTCATCCACCAAGCTAATGGCAGGGTACTGGTTTGGGTCCCAGGTGATGAATACGATTTTGGCACTGGTGTCTCCCTCCCTCGGCTTGACATAAAATCTGTAAGTTTCGATGCCTGTCCAGGCTCGGACAATGGACATATAACCAGGCTGCTGCAGATCCAGTGTGGGCGGTTCGTCGTTCGAGTCGTCGTCCTCCGAATCGAAATGCCAGTCTTCAAGAGGCGCCGGGGCTGGGTCTTCATCCACCGACTCTTCATCCGTCAACTGTGTATCCTGAGGATCCTTCGATTCTTCGTCTGTCAATGTTGCATCCATTGACTCTTCATCCACCGACTCTGCATCCGTCGACTCTTCATCCGTCGGCAGCTCATTCGTTGGGACGTTGTCCGCTACAGCCCAATCCCCGATCGAATCACCTCCCGTAGTTCCAAAATATCCTATCAACTGATTCGCCAAGTCTTGAGGGGTCAATGGTACAAAGGCCCATTTGTCATCCAGATCTCGAATCACATTGCCGCGTCTGAACTTGGCGAAGTCTGCGTCGCTGATACTTAGATCCCAAGACGCTGTCTTGGGCTTCTCGATCATTTTGATTTGACCAACCATTGTAATGATGGTCTGGGGCTGAAGTTATATGCGAGTCTGTCTGCAACTGGCATTTGGTTAGATACGAGGCGGCATTGAATCATCTCGTCTACATATTCCAAGGCCGTAACAATGAAGTCCCAGTAGTAAAAGGTAAGTACGAACCTTGAGAGATGGAGCGATTTTTGTAGTTTGGCTGGGGGCTTAGGGCTTAAAGCGATGGTCTTGGTCGCGATGACCAAGAGTGGAATGTGAAGAGTTGGCGAAAACTCTGCTGAGAAGAATGAAAAATTTGAGACGCGAATGTTGGTTCAGGCAGCGACGGTGAGGACCACGGAAGGGAGGTACTTATGCATACACGGGTGCGATGTGGCCCACTTTTTCCTCCTTTTCTACAATAGCTTAGGTACGAGTACACTGTACCTCCGTACACGTACACATATCTGTGCTTCCTTCCTTCCTCCGAGCGAACTGCTGTTGTGCTGTGAGGCCAATTCCCGCCTATAACTAAGGTAAGGTACCAACACACCAAGTTTAGTAATTCATGATGCATGTAGCTACGTAAGGTACCGACCCAACCGAACCAACTGGGACCAGCGTTCTGGACCAGTGGCAGTGGGCCACCATGTTCAGCAACCTCAGCTGTGTTTGCCGCCGAGTCACTTTTGTATCATGCAATACGACCAACAGCGCTGGCTGTTAGCCTTGTTCGCACCAACACTTGTCTGGCTGCGTGAAACCCCGCGGGTCGTAGGTATTTGTTTCGAGCTCTGCTGGCCGTTGGTTACACTACCTAAGATACCTAGGTAAGCTGACGAACCGACGCGACGTAGATGGGGTTCTGGTCCCTGTCTGAGTCTCGACTAAGGTACGAAACGACTCCTTGAGGTCGACATAACACCATATTGTTCTAAACTTGGATGTCCATTAAAAAGTCTCGGAGAAAAAGCAATACCTGTATCTCCAGTGAAGGTTCAGCCTTCCAGGTTCAGCGTGGGAGAGTCAAGGTCGATAAGGTCGGCAGGCCTAGATTTACGGGCCGGCGCTCAGTGCCATGATGTTGGCTCTCTGCCGTCTCGAGTAAATTACATCCTGGCCCAGAAAGAGGGTTCAATTCCTAATGCGCCTCGGTGTCTGAAGGGCTTGGGCCGCGGACGACATGGAGTCATTCGGGTCCAGTCACCAGGCTGCACCCGTTTCACACCCACCATGTTATTGCCTCGCCTCATAGAATACCGACTAGCTACCTACCTTACCTTAGGTAGTCTCTGTAATCAACATCAGTTGATTCACAGCTAAGGAAGGTACACTTGCCGTCCTCCGGCGACCCATCCAGTGCAGAGACGCACGCCACCAACCGACCTTGCCCACCTTTCCCATACCCCTTTCGGCCGCATGATATCACACAAGTCTATTCTGAGTTTTGACAATCGGGTATCTGAATCCTGGGTGTCTGGTTAGCCTGTCACCTACTACGGGGCACAATGCTGCCCTCGGATCACCTCCAATGTATACAAGGCTAAGCTGTTGGCCCTGCCTTCATGAGATCACACTTCCCCGGTCTGTGTTACGTTCAAGCATTGTAGCAACGCCATGTTTTAAACCATGGTCGTCGTCGATGGGGTCTCTACCTACGCCGTTGTTCGAAACGGCCCTCTCTGGCGATGAGAATCAGGAAATGCCGGCCTGACCCGTAACACCTGCTCATGTAACCCCAGTTACACAGGCTTACTGGGTATCTACCCTAGAGTTATCTCCCGAGCCCCATAGCTGCTGAAACTACGGGTACCACATATGTTTGAAGCCATATGTTTGAAGCCATGGTCGGTTGATGGGCTCACCTCGCCATGCAGCTGTTCAAGGCGGGCCCCTTTTCTACCATGCTAGCGGGCAAAAATAACAACAAGACCTTCACTGTAGGCAAGACGTCCATCCATTTTGGCTCAAAGGGATCAACAAATGCTATAAGAGATGCGTACCCGAGTCACGTAGACAGGACTAGGGACATTTCACAAGCTCAACAACATCTGCTCCTATCACGACTCCTAGATGCCTCCAGCCCTCCCATTTTTGTACAAATCTGCACTCATCTCCGAAACATCAACCTAACCCACGGCCATTTTCTGGAAAGATGGCGAAATTCTCCTTCTTCCTCCTGTCATGGATCCTGTGTGCCGCTTTGGCCGCCGACCAACAACAGGCAGCCCAGGGCACCGAAGTTCCAGATACTGTGTATCGAGCCGATAAACGCAGTCCCGATGTTATTAAGGCCAATGGCGGCTTTAAAAGCTGGGGCAACAAGCAGGCAATTACCGTTATCGAGCATGTCAGAAAGCTCTACATTCCGCCCAACAGGCAAATGCAGGACCCATGGATCTCGACTTCTACAGATCCCAACATCGGCGAGGACAATGCGATAGAAAAGCCCTGCTGGGTGTACACTATCGACACAACGGGCCTTGAGGACAGATTTGCCAGCGTCGCGGCTGCATGGGAACAGGCGAAAAAGAAAGATCCCCGACCTCACGAGAAAGAGTGGGCAGTCAACAGATTTATCCCATGGCAAAGCATCAAGGAGTTCTATAACATGTGGAAGGACGAGGAGGGGCACCTGGAGAGGGGACCGGTCTATACCTGGGAAACATGGGAGCAAGAGAAGCAAAAAGAGAAAGGGAATGAAGAGCAGAGCTCTGGATCTGCGGGCGGTCAAGGCCCGGCAACCGGGCCCTCGAAGGGAAAGGAGCCGGCAATAGGGCCCTCAGAGGGAACTGGAAAGAAGCCGGCAACCGGGCCCTCAGGCGGAAAGACGCCGGTATCCGGACCCTCAAAAGGAAAGGAGCCGGCAACCGGGCCCTCGAAGGGAAAGGAGCCGGCAATAGGGCCCTCAGAGGGAACTGGAAAGACGCCGGTATCCGGACCCTCAAAAGGAAAGGAGCCGGCAGCCGGACCCTCAGAGGGAAAGAAGCCAGCAACCGGACCCTCAGGCACAAAGAAGCCGGCAACCGGGCCCTCAGACGCAAAGAAGCCAGCAACCGGACCCTCAGGCACCAAGAAGCCAGGAACCGGAGGCTCGGGGGGGACCAAGCCCCCCTGGCGGCCTGCTGGCGGTAACGCGGCATCTGGCTCCAAACCCTCGGGCTCCAAGCCTGCGGGGAAGAAGAAACCCACCGGCAAGGACAACGGAGGGGACGACACGCCAGTGGCGCGTGATGTTTGGGAGAGACGTCGTCGGGCTACCAGGATAGTGCCACCACCTATGCGCAGGTGGGTTAGCAGAAGAAGAAACCAGGCCAGGGCTCGGGGTCGGGGGATGAACAACAGGCCAGTGGCGCGTGATGTTTGGGGGAGACGTCGGCGGGCCGTGTATGTAACCTTCTGAGCGGGGATAAGTTATACCGACAGCATGAGGGCACGCAGGCACGTTGCCCTGGGCAGGTGGGAAGGGAACGCGGGCACGTTGCCATGGACTCAGGGTATAGACGGACATATGTAGAGGTAGACCTAGTGTCAAAGCTGCAGGCTCAGCCACATCAATAGACTTTGGTTCCATCTCATATCCCTGGCTACCCCTGGATCTTTTTAGCGATAAATTGCCCGTCTCAGTTCATCCGTGTAGAGATTGTGATACTATGGACCAGGACTCACCGTGTTCATTGTTCCTATATCCCAAAAAGGAGGGCAACTGAGTGTATAATCTGCGACAACCGCAGATACCAGCCAGGCTTCGACCTGCAATTACCTTTAGTAGTAAAGGAAGACGCCCCAACCGGACTCAGAGAGCGCTGCGACTTCACAACGACCGCCGAGGCAAGGGTTGGGGATAAAGTAGATACCGTGAAGCACCCACGCCCGAGGAATCGAATCGGCAACACCCCACGCTCCCCTTCCAGTGACAGCTCACTCAAGCCTCAACATTAAACTCGTCAATGACACTCAGCGTCTCCACAAATTGATCCTCCAGCCCAACGGGCGGCATGTCAAGCCCGAACCCGCGGGGGCCGCCAACTTCCAGGCCGCGTTCGGTCTTCCACAGCGGGTGCGCCGGCAGCGCAATGACCGAGACACGCAGCCCGTACCGCAGGTCCTGCGACCCAATGGCCTCCCCGTCCTGGCCGAGGATCGAGATGAGATCGGGCACGGTGCAGACGACTCTGCGAGACGCCTCGGAGCCGGTTGCGTCGCTCAGGGCCGCGTAGAGGTACTCGTTCTGGAAGGGGATGAACATGTGATGGTTGGTGTTGCCGGTGTCATCATTAGACGAGGAGGTTGTTGTTGTTGCAGTTGAAGCTTCCTCGGCAGACGCGGCGTTGTCGTCGCTCGCAGGGCCGATGAGGACGCTGCCCATGGTGTACCCGCCGCCAATGTAGCGACGCACGTCGGTGATCTTGCCACTGTAGAGCAGTTTCCCGGCGCAGATGTCGAACTACATGTTCATGATTAGTCGTTGTAAGCATTAAAGTCTTGCCAACATTGATTCATATCTAGTTAGGGGATAGTTAATGCGATGACAACTCACTATTGCGTCGACGTAGCTGCGTTTCAGGCTGCGCGCCATATGGATGGCTCGACCGAGATACCACGCCAAGGAGAAGGTGTTGGGGATGCCGTGAGACTTGATCGCCGCGCCCGGCAAGGGGTAGGCAGAGAGCGCGCACCCCAAGCCAAGCTCAATCGCTGTTGTCCTTAAGACGGTCTCGAGTCTGGTTGGAGAATCGATGTTCTTGGTTGCGTTAGTGGTATTGTCGTACCAAGTAGAGATACAAGCCCTGTCTGCCGGTCTCATAACATACCATTACCACGACAGCGTTGTCTCGGGCGTCGGAGAGAACGCAAGGTGTCAGAGGGTCGCCATACACGGCGAAAGTCACTAACACTGCGTGTTAGCCCAGCTTCATTTCTCCCTTGGCTGTTCACCCACCATGGTAAATCGTCGGGTACGCCCTTCCCATGCCATCGCCGTCTACCACAGGGATATCGAAATAGGCTGCTGGCGGGAACACACTCATTCCATTGCCTCCGCCGCTGTCTGACGGTTAGAAACAAGCCCCTGGTCCCCAAATGCATCTAATGGGGGCTAGGTCAAGAACTTGAACTCACATCTCCTCGGTGAAGATGGCATCGAAAGAGTCGCGGCCTACAATTTTCCTAAGCGCCTTGATGTTTGTGACTATCTCGTTGCCACCGGCAATCCTCTCGTTGATCACACTGGGGCTCCCATACCAGGACCCGAAACAGACCAGATCAGTATCCGCGAGGGATTTTGGTGGAATGATGCGCATCCTGCCCTTTTCGCTTGTTTTCAGAGCGTGCAAGCTTTTTAGAAACTCGTGGTGTGTTGGACCTCCGCCGCCAGTGCCCAGGACGCCGCAGCCCGTCGAGATAAGCTCGAGATCAACATCGGAAACATACCAAACGCCGCAGCGGACTTCGGGGCAATATGCGGTCAGGTCAACACCTAGCGACGGTCTTGTCGAGGGCACCAAGGCGTTGGGCACGCTGACTTTCTGGCCCTCATCCTCTTCTTCGAAACTATCCCGCTCGCTATCCGGGGGCGGCGGCGGCTTCGTCGTCAGGTCGGTAGGGATCTGCAACCGGCCTACGGCTCGAATCTGCACCCTCATGGCCGCGTTATTCGTGTATTGCAGCGACATCTTGTTGATCTCGACGACCTTGACGTCGTCTCTCGCGGCCCCCTTTCGCACTGCCAACCCAATCGCCTTTTCACAAGCCTCCTTGAGAATACTCTCTTCGGTCCGCCCCGCAAGAACCTCGATCGCGTCGACCTCGCCCGACACCTTAGCAATTGCAGCGCCGACCGCGTTGGCAGCGCCGTGGTGTATGGGTTGGATGCACTTCTCCACGTTGCGCAGGTTTTCGGTCACGAGAAGGGCGCCGCCTCCGACAAGAAGCAAGTGGACAGGCGCCGAAGAGACCTTCATCTGCTCGACGACGCCTTCCAGCATTCTCGTGATCTCCTTTCTCGCTTTGTCCAGGACATCGGGCGAGATGTCGGCAACCCTCCGCGAATCTCCGACTTGCGCCTTGCCGAGACCCACCACGACATCCGTCGCCGTCATGGTCGAGCCTCCAAATACCATGGCTTCTTGCTGGAGGAGGTAGCCGACAGATCCGGGACCAACCTTCACCTTTCCGCAGGAGTCGTCCATTACGACCTTGCTGCCGCCGCCAAGTCCGATGGACAAGACCTCAGGCATGGAGAAGGCGGTGCGTACTCCGCCGATCTCGACGAAGCCGGGTGCTTGTCGTGGGAATCCCGACGGCAGCAATGCGCAGACGTCGGTGGTAGTACCGCCGATGTCGACGACCAGAATCTGCTGCTGCTGAAACGAGTCCGAGTCCGGGTCCGAGGCACCTACTCCAGAGCCACTGTCACCGACACCGTCATCGAGAGCCCGGGCATGGTGGCGATCAAGACCGGCCAAAAACGCGGCACCCGTCATGCTATTGGTCGGCCCGCTAGCAAAGGTCTTGATGGGATATTCGGCAGCGGCATCGGCCTCAATCAGGGTCCCGTCGTTCTGAGAGAGATAAAGGGGACAAGTCAGGCGCAGCCGGTTCATGGCCCTCTTGAATCCTCGGATCACCTTCGCAGCCGTTCTGAGAATGGCGGCGTTGAGGATGGTGGCGTTCTCTCTCTCGAGCAACCCCGTGGGGCCAATGTCGTGCGAGCAGACAATGCGTAGACTGGGCACCGCTTCCAGCATGCTCTGCTTACACCGTTCCTCATGCGCTCCCTCATGATCCAGTGGCGAAAAGACGCCCACCAGGGCAACCGAGCCGACGCCCGAGGCGGCTATCTCCAGCGCAGTCCGTCTGATGTGCTCGGGGTCGAGTGGGGCGATCTCACGGCCGTCAATCTCGAATCCACCGTCGAGATAGAACACGCCTCCCTCCAGAATGCCGCGCAGGCCTACGGGAAAGTCAGAGAAGGGTGGGATCTGCCGAGTAAACGGCCCACAGAGGCGCACCACGGCGACGCGGTGCAGGCGGCGGGCATCAGCTTCGACGACGGAATTTATAAAGTGCGTGGTCCCAATGGTGACGCTCAGAACACAACGCTGGTCAATGGCGGATGCATCGAGGACTGCTCGTATCGATGCTTCGACGCCGCCTGTGATGTCCTCAGTTGTCGCGGCCTTGTGCGAGGCGAGAATGCCGCGTCCGGGCGAGTCTGCGGCCTTGATGTCGAGGATCGCGGCGTCCGTGTTGGTGCCGCCCACGTCGACGCCGATGCGGTAGAGAGACATGGCGCTGTTTTCAGAAGTCACTGCCTAAGGTACCAAGTTTTGGATTCAGAGAAACCCGCTGCTTTTTGTAGCTGTCTGTGTCCCGGCAGGAGCGACGCGCAGAAGCCGTGTGACTGTGCCCAGGGCAGGAAGGCGCGGTTCAATCATAATGTTGTTCCACATATCCAACTTGTACACGTACAATCATGCTGCATCCGACTTGCATCTTGCCAACGGCTTACCTGCATTCCATTCCACAAAGCTATAGCTCTGATTGCTTTATTTGGGGGCGTTGTAACTTGTTGGACTTGTGGCGCGTCGGTCGAAGGTCGTGGAGTGGACCCCGTTTCCAACATTTATAGGCTACAACTAGGGTTCGGAAACGAAAATCTTCCATTTCCGAAATTTCAACCCCTTTTTTGACATTTTCAATTTCAAGGACCCCCTTGAATTTCAGCATTTTTCACCCAAGGATTTTTCCTCCCATTGGTCAGGTGCTGAAGAAGAAGAAGAAGCTATTTTGACAAATCAGATATTTGCATTGTTGTAGGAAGGAAATCGTTGTTGTAGAAAGGAAATCGAGGATGGTTGACCACCTTAATGGCGGGCACTGGGTGGTAAGGTTGGAAGGTTGGGGACTTACAGTACACATATACTTGGGCACACATAACCCTAATCCTGTAGGCTTACGCATTCCGAAAACGGTTAGCGTAAATGGCGGAAATTTCGAAATTCATGGGTCGATTTTACAGTTTCCGAATTTCGAAGCCAGGTTTGGAAATTTCCAAACCCAAGCTGTCCTAATCCGTACAATCGGTCTATTTTAATCTTATCAACGATCTTGCCGGAGATTCATCGGCAAAATATTGTTTGACGCGACCCGACGTGACAAGAAGACCAATGCTTCAGAACGCGACAAACCTACGGACTACCACAGTGGAACCCCTGGTCAGACCATCTTATTCGTTTTGCGAAATAATGACTTTTTGCGAATCAGCGGCCCTGACCCTCTACCGAGTGCGGTAGGTGCCGATTAAGAAGGCCTGACGAGTACCTATGTACTGTACTGTACAAGTACCTCAGTACCTGTACCTGGGGCGCAGTCTGGGCTGCGGCTTCAGGCAGCTGTCCGTTGGAAGGTCTTGGCCGACTCCGGATCCCCTCCATCCAAATTGATCCCAAATTCCATTTCCAACCGCTTCTAGTAATGAGGTAAAATGGCGGAACCCCTATCCATCGGAGCGAGTGTCTTGGCTTTTATCGGGCTCGCAGATCGCATTATCAGGCTCAGCAAATACTGCATCGATGGGCTCCAAGACGCGCCCAGCGAAATTCGCATGATCCATGGCGAAGTCTTATCACTCCGGGCGATTGTGGATGTCTTGGCAGAAACGGACGCTCCTTCCCTCTTCAACAAGGATGGCCCCTTGGAAGGTTGCCGTTGCTGCCTCTCGGACCTTGAGGGCCTTCTTCCCGGGGTCGATACGAGCCTCAGACGTGCCGGCCGCCTACTCACTGTCGCCGAGCTCGCCTGGCCGCTGAAACAGTCCAAAGCGAGGAAGCTCGTAGCTGAGCTTTCGCAGCACAAGGCCACGCTGCTCCTGGTGATGTCGGGTGATATCGTGTAAGCTCTTGAACGTCGAAGAATGAATTGCCTCTTTTGCTCACAAATTTGTTCTGTTGGTTTTTTTAGCCATGAGCTGCGCGGTATCAAAAGAACGCTATCGAAGTTGCAAGACGATGTCTCTGGTATGGTCTCCCAGTTCTCCGTCGCCATCTTCTTGAGTACTGGGGTCGAATGTCCGACCTTACCTAACCAATCCACCCACAGAATCTGAGCGACATAAGATTCACACCTGGCTAGAACGCACAAATCCATCAGGGCTACACAATTCCGCTATTGGTAAACATGAACCACACACATGTGCCTGGCTGATGCAGTCTGTCGAGTGGAAATCCTGGGTGTCTTCAACGGCACCCGATCGGATGCTCTGGATTTACGGTATCCCCGGCTCCGGCAAAACAGTTCTAGCATCTTTTGCTATCGAAAAACTGAAGCTCCTCTGCCAAGGCACTGCTGGCCACATCTGCGTCTATTACTATTGCCATTACTCAAACGGCCAGGACGAAGCCTTGCCGCTGCTGAGCTGGGTGGTTTCCCAGGTGTGTCGCCAGCTAAAGTGGGCGCCCTCTGAACTCAAATGTCTCTACGATCGGGGCTGCGAGCCCACCATTCCGGAGCTACAGCACGTTTTGGAACTTGTTCTGACGCGCGTCGAGAGGCTTGTCATCGTCGTGGATGCCGTTGATGAGAGTACACCCAGAGACTCGCTGGTACGTCTTCTCGCGAATATGACCTTGGACAGCCGATTCCAGAAGGTCCGCATACTCGCAACAAGCCGCCAATATTTCGACATCGAACGTGTCTTCTCCGGAATCTCAATCTCTATATCCATGAAGAACCAATATGTCGATGCAGACATTGAGTGTTATATTCGGTCTAGGCTTGATTCAAGCATTCGTCTGCGGCGATGGCGAGATCATTCGCGTGAGATTCAACAGGCACTCGTGGCAAAGGCGGCTGGAATGTAAGTTCTCTCGTCAATGCATTCCAACGAACGCTTCTAACATTAAAGTATTAGGTTCCGCTATGTTGACTGCCAACTCGACAGTATCGAGCGCCTTCGTGACAAGACAAAACTCTTCTTGGTACTCCAGGACTTGCCTGAAGACCTGAGTGAAACATATGTCAGAATATTCGACAATATCCCCGAAGCCGATCGTCAATTCATTACCCGTGTCCTTCTATGGGTCTATGGTGACTCTGTTGCACCCTGGCCGGTTCGCCGAGGGATTAACGCAAAACTGTTACTCGAGGCTGTCACCTTCGACTTGTACGGTCGTGATGCGGTGGAGAAGAATTCCGCGTTTGACTGGGAATGCCTCCAAGACCTCTGTGGCTGCCTCATAGCAGTCACAAAAGAAAACCCGGAATTAGATGGGGGTGATGTAGACGATCCTGCAGTCTGCTACGTCACCCTCGCCCACTACACCGTCTGGGAATTTCTTACTTCTTCACATATCTTGTCGACTCGTGCTTCCCGATTTGCAATGTCGACACCGGTTGCCTGCAGGGAGTTTGCCACCAGCATCCTCCGCCAGGCTCTGACGGCCGATCCTAAGGGAAGACGAACCGACTGGCGGCGGGAACGCGAGGCATATTGTATGGTACTCCGGTGTGCTTTTAAGTCGCCTACGTATCTACAGACACCCCAGGACTGGACCTGGATCTATTCCTACACTTCTTAAACCCAGGCAACCCTCATTTTCGGAGGTTCCCGGGCATCCAGACACGTGCTCTTTACGACGATGAGGACGTTAGACGCATCTTTCACATCGGGCAACTTTACTCAGAGTTCCGTGTGCCAACAGATTCGGACATGGGACAGCAAAACATTACACCTGAGACTCTTCTTAATCTTTGCTTGTTCCAAGGCTTGTGGGGTCTACATCATGTACGAAGTGTGATTTTTTAAAAATCGAAGTCAGCTGAAAGTCAGTGCAGGCTACCGGAGTACATCTGCAGCCACAGGGTCAGCGAGAAGCCACAGCTGGCGGCTTGGCAATGGCGTACATACCCCGCGCCGTTGTCTGTTTGGGCTAGAGCTCCTCGATGAGCCTGACCACTTCTCAGCTAGCGACCGCCACAAATGCAGTCCTTGGTCTAGAGAGACGGAACTCCAAGTCAGAGCCTCTTATGCTCCTGGGGCCTTTGCCGCAACGCCCCTGAATATGCGGCTGTCGCTAACGCCCTATGATTCCTGACATGATCCAACCGCGACAACTATGCCGTCGATCACAACCTAGTTTATTTCATTGACGAACTTGACAGCCAGGATTAATTCACTCACCATGGCTTTTGGCGACGACTTACCCCGCAATGATGCCAAGGCGTCTGAGGATCTCTGGGAAACGGCTGCTGCATCGCTTGGTGACGATTTAAAGAGTGTGATTGAGCCCAGCGATGGAGACCGGCGAGAGATCTTGCGACGCGTGCTCGTCGAGGCGACTCAAAAGCAGAAACAATGCTTGGAAAAGAGGTGGAAGATCAAGAATAGGAAGGGCGATGTCATCATCCTGCGAGATGTCTTCGAAAAGATCATTACATCCGTCAATTCCTTCAAGGGAATCGGAGACTCCCTCGCTAGTATGGGACCTGGGTGGGCCGCTATCCCCTGGGCGCTTGTGAGCGTGTTGCTGAAGGTTGTCGTCACGGACAACGAAACTTTTGCAACAATGATCGAGGGATTGGAGAGAGCAACCAAGATCATATCCCGATATTCCGTATTTGAAGCGGTCTATCTCAAGCAGGAGACGGCGGGTACACAGCAGCTCCGAGACTCGCTTGTGGCACTGTATGCCTCGGTGCTGACCTTCCTCGGAGAGTCGTACTACTACTTCGCCAGGAACACAGCAAGGAGGTTCATCAAGGCATTCTTTTCTGATTCGGGGGTTGACGAACTGCTGGATGATCTGACCGCAAAGCAAGCCGAGGTAGACCGCGATGCTCAGCTTGTTGCTACCGAAGTCTTGCAGTCGGCAGCAAAGGATATCCGTGGTATTTCCGATCATTCAACTTCCATCACATCCCAGTTGAACGTCTTGCAAACGCATCTCGAACAAATCCAGCAATCCCAGCTCGTTGTAGCCGATCTGCGGGCCCTTAAAGACGCAATATCCGCCATGGCCCGCCCAGTCCAGAGGATAGTTGCCATAGCTCCGGCCTCCACAGACAATTTGGGTGCTCTACAACGTAAAGCTATTCTGGACTGGCTCTCCCCGATTCCATACAGGCTACAGCATGTATCTGAGAGACATCGTCGTCTGCCTGACTCGGGCGCCTGGATGTTCGAAACGGCGGAATATATTGGGTGGAGAGAATCAAGCGTCTCGGGAACCTTGTGGCTCCACGGCATGCCTGGATGTGGGAAAACCAAGTTGCTGTAAGTCCTAGTTCCCTTCGATCAGCCGAATCAGTGTGATAACATCGAGCTCACCAATTACTAGGTCCGCTGTTGTCGACTATGAACTTCAAGACATTGAGAAGCACCCAGGAGCGGCGCCAGTAGCGTATTTCTACTGCTCACGCAATACGGCAGAGCCAGAACGATCCGACCCGGCCGAGGTCTTGCGGAGCATTGCGCGCCAGCTGTGCGGGGACGACGTCTCCAAGCCAGTGCCTGAGCAGCTGCGACGTGTCCACCAGTTCCTGGGAGCTCCAGAACCAGGGACTGCGAAGTTACCCCTAGACCTCACCATCAAACTTATTTTGGACCTACTACGGGAGAATCCAGCCACTATCATCCTTGATGCGCTCGACGAGTGTGACCCTGGGACCAGACACGAACTCTTCGAGGCACTCGACGCAATCGTGGCAAACGCTGAGAACGTTGTCAAGATATTCCTTACAAGCCGAAACGACGGAGACATTGTATGCCGCCTGGCGTCAACCCCTAACATCTACATCAACGCCCAGAAAAACGGCTTCGATATTATGCGCTTCATCGTCACCGAACTCGACCGTGTCATTGCCCAGAAGCAGCTCCTGCGTGGTCAAGTGCCGGACAGACTGAAGCGGGAAATTACCGACACGTTGATTCAGCGTGCAGACGGAATGTAGGCCGACTCGATTGACACGCTATTGCCACCCACAGTCAGCTAACAAGATGGTGTCACAGGTTTCGTTGGGTCACTCTGCAGATTCAAAATCTTTGTGACCCCCGGAGAATGCGCGTAGAGGGCGATGTTCGGGCCGAACTAGGGCATCTCCCCAAAACCCTGGCGGACCTATACTCCATAGCCTTCGATCAGGTCCTCAGCTCGGGCACGGAGAGCTCCAAGCTAGCCATTAAGGCGCTGCGGATTCTCCTGTTTGCGTATCGGCCGTTTGGCTGGGCCGAATTCCTCTACCTCGTCGCGCTCACTGACGACGGAATACGGTCCACAGTAAGCCGAGACGAACTGCTCCATAGTACCTGCAATTTCATTGAGGAAGCCCCCGAGGTCGATCGAGTGGCATTTCCCCACCTGTCTGCTCGCGAATACCTTCAGACGAGGCCGGAATTCACAACATCCTCATTACATATTGCGGCGTCACAGATCTGTCTGAGCGGCATCCGATATCCAGAACCGCAAGGGCCCGGAGTTCCGCCCGCGGGCTTCACATACGCCATTCTCTACATCGGAAATCACCTTGCCGAGCTCAACGTTAGGGAACGAAGAGAGGTAAAATTCCTCAAACCATTCCTCCTGCACGATGCTCCATTATTTAACGCCTATGTGGAACGACTGCGACGGATCATGCGTGCATCTGGCATGTACTATCACTACGACGCCCCTCAGGTACCGAAACTAGTGATATTTTACTGCCTCGATCCCCTCGCGATGATTTGTCTGTTTGGCTTGGAGGAATTCCTGGCAGAGGCTATTTCTCAGATTGGAGTGCAGGCGGTAGACCAACCAATGGTTTTCGGAGAAGGGAGCGTTCTAGGATTTTACCTCATGGTCACTGGGGCCGACAAACAAGGCGGCATCGCCGCTAGTGCTGCTGCTTTGCTCAGCGGAAAATCACGTCTTGAGATGGCTGTCATGCGCCGGAACGGCAACATCCTGCGTCGGCTCCACGATTTAGGAATATATTTTGGCAACCCCAACAGGCAGGGCGAAACAATCCTCCATCTTGCTTGCAGGCATGGCTTGGACGACATGGTGCGGCTGCTACTGTCCTTGGGGATGGACCCGAACCAAGTAACCACCCCCGGCAAAAAAGAGCCTTACAGCGGCTTGATGCCTACAAGAGACCCTGTCGGGCACCGACCGGCATCGTCGTTGGGCTTCCGAGCGCGGGACGGGAACTCATCAGGCGTGATCAGCCCATTCGGCACCGAAGAGGAGATACAATACCCCATCCATCTCGCCATCGCTCCGGGGAAAAGCATCGAGTGCGTCAAGGCCCTAGTCGAGCACGGAGCTGACAGCAATGTGCGAACATCTCGCGGCGCCACGGCCTTGCAACTCAGTTTTGAGATGGGCGACCAGACCGACGAGATCACCAAGCTTCTGCTTAGCAGGGGAGCGGATCCGAACGCCGAAGTGGGCTTCGGCCGAACGATGCTTCACCTCGCTGCTGCCATGGGGCTGGCCAGGATCGTGCCCGAATTGGTGGCTGCCGGTGGAGACGTAGCTCGGAGGGACTACTACGGCCAAACGCCCTGGGCCACTGCTGTGCGCTACGGGCACACGGATGTAGCCGAAGCTTTGGCCGCTGCTGGTGGGCGGTTGAGTCCGGTGCTTACGGGCTTGGGAGACACTCTGGAAGACTCAGAGGACGGCTGTTCAGGGGATGAGTATGATCTAGGAGACGAAGGCTTCGGAAGGTTAGGTTTACCATCTATACGTGTTGAGCTGGAAACAGCTGAAGGCTCGATTTGGACGGCATGGCCTGAGGCTCAACAACAGCAGGCGCCACCTCCTTCGAAGGTGGAAGCCACCACTACGGCCTCCGCCATCCCCGTTCACTTCGATCAGCCAATACCGACAGCGGAAAGGAGAAGTTCAAGGATCTCGGACAGGCTCAAGAAGCAGTTTTCCAAGCTTACGATGAAGCCCCGCTGAAGCTGAAGGAGGCCTCAAACCGACCTCGGTATCTTACTTTGGCCAGCCAACTACATGCTCTTTCCAAGCCTCAAGGTATAAGTGGTACGGCCATCTAGGGAGCGTTGCTGATTTCAGTGGGATGTAGACCATATACACCCCTAAGTCTCCACAATCCTCACATTCTGAGGTACCATCCATTGCGCCCAATTTCTGTTTCCCTTTCTTATCAGCAATTACAATCGCCCGGAACCTTGAGTACCCGACCGGATCCCAACTACTTGAGTTGTTGGCTCTCACGCATGCACTGTGGTATGTACGGCCTCCTATGCATCATGCCATACTGGTAGCATGCAGAGCTACACCATTCTAGGAGTCGGCAATTGAGCCTACGATCCGTGCGGAGAGAGGCTTCTGAGGGAAAAACGCCTTACCACCAACCATGATAATTAGCCGCTGGGCACCTTTGCGGGTAAGAACGCCCATCCAGCCCCGCCTTTATCGTCAAGCATGTGAACAATCACCAAGCTCAAAAAGCTTGTCATACTCAGGTCTACCGGGCATCTAACCTGATTGAATTCACGTTTCCTGCCTACCTGAGCAAACTTGAAGTTTGAACCCCTATCACCCCAAAAGCCAGGTCCAGGATGGACCCCCTCTCAGCGATCGCGTCGGTCATCGCCATCTCGCAGGCCCTAGGGATAAGCATCAGGGCCCTCCGAAGTCTTGCCAATGTCTCTGCCGAGTTCAGCGATCTGGTTCACGAGTTGTCTACCTTGCAAGCATCCATGGTCCAGCTCTCCGCTTTGGTGAATATGATGGCCGATCCACACCTATGCCTGCCTGGTGAGCTCATCAGCAGGATAGGGATCATTCATTGCGAGCTCAGCCAAATTGTGGACGCGATAGAGGATGTTACGGCTCGGCTGTTACGTACTAGTACTAATGTGCTGGTCACAACCACCATGTATCCTTGAACAAGAAGAGGGAACCGAAGGTTTCCGCCATCAGCTGGTACCAAGAACGCAGCAAGGTTACCAAGCTACGAGACCGAGCAAAACGCTGTCGTGAGGAATTATCTGTTTGCTTAGGGCTGCTTGGGTTCGCGGAGCAGTAAGCCATCTTTCATAACTACGTTCATCTTGGATAACTGGTGTCTCGAGAATACTATACCTCAGCTTGGTACTTCACCGGGTACTAACTTCGAACGTCCGCTCTTGCCGATCTACCTAGGCTCCAGCAACGAAAGATTGGCATGGACATCCTAGCCATGTCACATAACCAGCATTCGGTTGTGCAGGAGGCCCTGTCACGCTTCGAGTCACGGTTTGATGCACTCGAGTCCATCCTCTCTACTGCGACTACCCCAAGCAACGCGTTGGAGATCAAATCAGCGGCCCATCTTGGTACCGTTGACTCGATCAACTCGCCGACCAGGTTCCAGGCATCACTTCGGCAGCCGTGTACACGATACTGCCAATGTCGATGTCACAAGGCTTCAGCCCTGCGTTCCCCCCCATGGGTGCGAGATTTGGTAGGCTCCCTGCTAGTACAGTGCAGTGTGCCTGTTTGGTCTCAGAAGCGCTGCGACTTGCCAACGTGCCGGTGGCAATCTGGTACCTCAATTCGACTGGTCTACTCTTTCCCAGAGTGGCTCCTCCGCCGTGCGGTTTTCCTCTCTGCCTGCTGGGGCTCGTTGACCAACGTGGGAGTTTCGCTGCATCTGAGTGTTCCGAGAATTTGGGAACCGGAAGGGATTATCCGCGCCATCAATGAAGGCTACTCGGACTATGTAAGGGAAAAGGTTGCGTCGCGAGAACTCTTGCCGACCGACGTCACCGTATACGATGTCGGCTATCTTGCTGTAAGTTCTTAGTCCTGGGGCTGTTGAATGACGGTAGAGTTAACCTGAACCACCGCAGTACCTCGTAGGCAAGGCCGACACAGAAGATCATTTCCGTTTCGCAGAGCTTTTCCTGGATGTGGGTTTCAGTGCCCTGTTTGTTGACCCTGCTGGCGAGTTAGTATCCTTCATTCCGTCCCGTCTTGGGTCACTGATTCTTACACGATTTTAATCAACAATCGGCCAGGTCCCCAGCAGTTGTAGCCAGGAGGAGACTGATCCGGGGTGCTGCCAGACAAAAGATAACACCCGAAGCTTGCCGTATTCTTCAACGGATGGCCCAAGAAGACAGTGACTATTTGGACCTGTCGACTTTAATCAGGGACTCGGTCCTCAACGTTAGCAATTTCACACTCCAAGACGCACTGGCAATGGAACCAAGCCACATTGGCACCATCGACTACGCCGGGTACTCACCACTGCATTGGGCAGCACGGCTTGGCTACTCGGACAAAGTCGAGCTGCTAGTATTGAGTGGCGCGGCAGTGGATCTTCCAACGAGACCCATGGGATATACAGCGCTGCATATGCCTAGTTGGACCAACAACCTCCGTTTGGTGTCCTTCCTGGTCAAAAACGGCGCTAACATAGAGGCAAGGGCTTCTGACGGCTGCACACCTCTGCATTACTGCCCTACTGCCGAGTGCGCACGCATTCTCCTGGCTGCTGGTGCAAAGGTTGATGCACTCTGCCGATATGGAAGTAGCGCTCTCCACCATCTTGTGTTTGTCTACTCTCGTACCGAAAGCCGCTGTGGTCCTACCCTCGCAGCGAGATCAGAGCTGGTCGCGTCAGGGGCGGATTGCAATCACAAAAACATCTTTGGGCTTTCGCCCTTCCTCCTCGCCGCTGAGACTGGACAGGTCGCTACACTTCAGCATCTCTACTCGCTCGGAGCGGCCACTAATGCCACCAACATCGAGATGGAGAGCGTGCTCGATTTCACATGCGCCTACTACGGGTTCCAGCAAACGGAAGCGTTACGTAAAATGGGTATCTGTAGAATCGACCCAGATAGGTCCTTGCCGCCAGGACTTTCAACCATACGACGCTTCGAGTACAGGATGCTCGGCTGGCGTTGGCAGCCCGGGCAACGCAGCCCAACACGGGCCGACGTCTTCAGCTTCTATGCGCTTGTGTCCGAGATAAGACGGAGAAATTGGGAGTCGGGCCTTTTTCTGTACTCAAAGACAAGATTGGAGACAAATGGAGGGATCGAACGGCTGCGAAGGTGGCTCGGCTGGCAGTGGCAGAAAATGCATGACGATGACAGTTTTGCTCAACAAATCTGGGACCCTGGTTGCGACAAAATTCCACGTGTATTTGATGGATACGACGATGATATGAACGACTATGACATGTCTACCATCTTTGGCAAGGAGAATGACGACGGTCTCATAACACATAGCCCGGAGCAGGTGTCAGAGCGAACGTCACTTGGGGAGTGGATGAAGAGATGGACGAATTTTTTGATGCAAGATCTTAGCCGACTTTGGTCGATTATGTTGCTCCTTTTGCTTTTCTTTTCGCGTGGTTTGAGCTAGAGCTGTTCAGACACGGTTTTGCCAATGCTGGTTACAAACGAGGGCTCGGAATCGTCATGTGCCGGAGGGGACAGAGGAAGTTGGAGAGTTTCCACGTGGTAGCTTGACAGGGCTACTGAGCAGGAAGGAAAAGGAGGAAATCAGGGCCAACGTACAGGCTAGAAATAGGGGCGTGTGGCTAGCTGAGGTGAGCAGTGTTGGCCGGGCAACCCCATGGCCTGACAACTTGCCCTGAGCCCCTGACAGCGGGCTAGCAAGCCGTTCTGGTCCTGCCAGCTGCTCTGTCAATGTGTGAAAGCTCACTTCCGCAATTGGTGCATAAGCATCGAGAGCGACTTAGGGGGCTTATTTACTCACTTGAGGGAATGACTGAGCAACTAAGGTGACTACTGGAATGACCATCACGACTACTTACCTACCTAGCTATATATCAACAACGCATAATCTTCCCGCAAAATCAATGCCTAGCTATCTCTAATATGTACCGTCTTCGAACTAGGTACATGTACAGTGAACTTCGCAGTCAGAAAATGCAAGCCCACTGCAGCGGATCCCGCCCTGCTAACGAGCAGAACGAATAGACCCAACCATACTCACCCCCTGCGCTTCACCTCTAGGCACGGTTTACCAAACCACGAAGCCCGAGTCATATTACCCTATGACCGGAGACTCGTCTCTGATGATATATATCTCACCAATGAGGACAGTGCACCCAACCGTCATTGCTATAGCGATGATGGGAAGGTTGACTCGTGCAAAATCGAGCCTCCTGACGCGGATGTGCTTTTTGGCCAGGATATTCTGCCAGAGCAGACCAGCCAATGAAGCGCTGAGCGCCGTGCTAAAGGCTCCATAGTTGACGCCAAGAGCCATGCTGTACACGGTTGCCCAGAACTCTCGCTGCGTGATCTCAACGTGATCATATTGGCGGATTCTTTGCCACGCCTGAATCACGCGGCTTAGTAGTATGGTTGCTCCAATGTTGGTCCCGGCAAACTAAAAGAGTCAGTCAAGACACCCACATGTTTTTAAATGAGAAGACGCACGTTGCAAAGAACGACCGAGAGGAAACCCATCCCCCCGACGGCGCCGACAACGCCCGTCTTCGTCACCCATTTGTCCCACCCCAGAGCGAAGATTTCTACCCAGCCCTTGGTGACCAGCGCTTGCACCAAAACAAACATGCCAAAGGCAAAGGGTATAAGTGCATAAGGCAGGTGGGTCAGCACGGCGGTAGCTGTCGGGAACGTCTCTTGTGACCACCGAAAGGCGTCCTTGGCGAGCGACAGGAGGGTTGTCCGTCGTCGCGGCTGCTGAAGCTGCCGCTTCTCGTCACTCTTGTCCGCTTTCCCAATTTCTTGCACTGGCGACATCTCAAAATTGTCGCTTGTCATGGCAGCCTCGTTAGCGCCACTCGCACTACCCAAAGTACCCTTCCGAGAGCTAAGCTGGGCCAACTGCAAGCCCTGCTGATCTGGGAGAGACGTGGCTGATGACTCGGCAGGCTGAACCTCAGGAGATTCTGCGGGTTTCTTTTCCTCTTTCTCTCGCATCGCCCGTTCAAGACGGGCCCGTTCCAGCTCTTTACGGCCCTTTCGAGCAATCTCACGCGTCTCATGCCGATGAAGCCATCCGTACGACAAGTCCCATACGAACGTGACTACCGCGGCCGGCAATGTGACGTAAAACACGGGGATCTCGCCGATGCTTGTTTTTGCCGCATTGAGGGCCAGGACGGCCACCAGGGTCACGGCCATCACGACAGCTCCAAAGGTAGCACCGCCCTTGTCGAGGAAGGGGTTCATGATCTCCTCGAGGGACAAGAGCTTGCCTTCTTCGCCAGGGGCATCTTCACTCTCTGCGGTTCCCCTAGCGTTGGGAATGTTGGGGTTGACGGGCTTGCGAGATTTGGCCTCCTCAGGGAGCTCATGCATTTTGATCGAGGTTGGAATGAGAGACTCGTTGTTGAAGACGATGTAGAGCAGGAAGGGAAACACGGCGATGGCGGTAATGACTACAGGCACTATCATGTTCGCTGTGTAGTCTATGAACCTAATGTTGAAAGCTCCCGCAAGAACGAGGTTAGTAGGATTCGAGGAGACCAAGATAGCCGAGGCTATGTTTGCGACCTGGGACCGAGCTCTTAGTAATGGAACCCAGAGGGAGGGGTTAGGAAGACATACTGCAAACTGGGAGAAAATCCAAGCTCTCGGGTGGACAATGTTGCTCGAGACGCGCGTCATGTATGCAAGGAAGGCGGTGCCCGAGAGAATGATGGGATCGTTCCCGATGAAGCTGCCGATACCGAAAAAGAAGACGTAGAGGTAAAAGAACAGCCGGTGGCCCACCCTGCCGCCCCATTGCAAGATTTTGAAGGCCAAGAACCTAATTACGCCGGACGCATCCAGGGAGATGGCGATATAAGCCAAGGTGATGAAGAAGATCATGATGTCGTAGGTTAGAATGTGGTCGGCCCCAAGAATCCCGCCGGCCACTTCTTCGCGGCCGATGGCCAGCACGGCAAGCAGGAAAAGATCGGCAAGTATTGGTGCAGTGACGAGGTTCATGGGGAATTGCAGCCGCACATAGCGGCCGGGGACCGCAGCCTCGTCGCCGTTGTCACGGTCCCCGTCATTTTCGGCAAGGCTTGACCCGGGTTCCGGCTCATCGGGTTCCCGGGGCGGAGCTACTCTGCATTTGCTCAAGAGATTCCAAAAAGCATCATAGACCCTTCGAGGGACGTAAATGGGGATGTCGAAGGGGAATAAAACCACGAGGTCTGCCGTTATATGGTGTTAGCTATCTAAAAGTACCGAGTACTCGTGTCTGTGCTCTGAAAAGTCAGTCACGCTAAGGTCATGTACCTACTTGTGGCAACAAACACAATGAGCGTGACGATTGACCTCCAGGATTTGATTCTTTCATAATCCGGGGGAGCAAGCTCCTCTGCCATATCGTCGTCGATTGCGTGGCAAGCTGGAAGCAAATCGGCGGCACATTGGGAATCCGTAACCAGACAGAGGTGGTCCAGGGCTCCGTGGAGGGGCAGTAGCCCCGGTACTTTAGCTAGGAAGGTGGATGACACTGACAGCCGTCGCCACGTGCTGAGACGTGGTAGCCTACTGGCGGGGCTCCGTATCTGGGCAGCCCCACCGCTGCAACTGCTAGGGCAACTGCGCCCAGCTCGCCGAGCATGGAAATCTTCCACTGCCTTTCCTGTTGCAACACCGAGTACTCGCACAGCCACATCCAAGATTTGAACGAGCATCAGCATGCATTGAATTCATCTGAATGAGGGCAGATGCATCGCCTGGCGGCGGTGTCAAGCAGTGCAAGTGACCTGCAGCACCTCACTGTGTCATTTTTTATCCTGGTTAACCGACCCTCGGACTCGCAACCTCACGGTGAGTTGACCGCCCTGGCTTCTGGAGGTTAGGGCTGTACGTCATCGTCTAACGTGAGATCTTCTGCTCCAAGTTGTGCTTGGAGCAAATGGCAAGGCTCGGCGCAAATCACTTGCATGTGGCTCTTTCCTCGGCCTGTCGACCACTGCAGACTGCAAGGCCATCACACTGCGGCAAGCCGAACGCAGTGCCATCCCAAAACAGACAAGAGGGCACGTGTATTGTACGATTGCCAACGGCGCTGACCATTAGGTACTTATCACGGTAACCCTTGATTACTCGAAAGTCGAAACCTGTCACGGTGTCCCTGTGCAACCAAACGGGCAACGTAAAGGAGCCGCATGTCTTCGTCTCCTTGCCCGACTGCTCGCCCTACTTTTTGACACTGCTGACCTCTTGACCTACCCTCCCCAACCGCGGGACCCCGCAATGCGCCCTTCCGCCTTTGCTTTACCGACCGTCCTAAGCGGCACCAGCCGATGCAGCGCTCCACGCGACAGAACGACCAATATATTGCCGTGACATTCCCGCTTTTTGTTCTACGATAGTATAATACATCCATTATCTTGGATAAGCTTCTTTTATCTTTTCAGAATCCCCGTGCTGCCTTCACCCGGCGTCTCGATTTTCGGTCTCGCAAGGCCATGCCGCCGGTCTCCGGACAGCTTGCCACCTATCTTATCGACCGGAACGCTGCCTCCAATTCTTCAACGCTCGGCCAACCTCAACCGCTGCAGGTGATTTGCGCTTGGCCAGTTTCGGGCCAGTACGGACCGGGCTCCAGAGTACTGTTGGTGACAAAACGGGATGCCGAGGCGGGCTAAAAAGACCAAAACAGCTGACTCCAACCTACCTTGCAGGTACTACGTCCTGGTCGCGGCTTGTCTTCTCGCGCGGAAAACAGAATGGCTCCGGAAGGCCTGCCTGGCCGCTGCCTTGATCCTTCCAGCCGTTGCCGCCATTCACGGTATCGTCCTTGCGGCATTGCATGTCGACGGTGTGTGAGCCCTTCATCCTGTGGGCCCTAGCTTGGCTAACCAAGGCACTTGCAATCTCAGATGCGGTTGATTTAGACGTTTATGGGAGTTTTCAAGTGTCGGTGGTCGCTATCCTGACTGCCCCTCTAACAGTGAGGATATCGAGTACCTACTTCAACAACCCTGGCAGAAACACCATTTTTCTTTGGACTTGTCTCGTGCTTGCTGGTTAGTCGACGCCAACCCTTCCACCACAACCCCTTCGGTTTGCTGATTCAGGGTTAGGGTTGATTGCTCTGACTGTCGAATTCTTCCGGCTGAAGTCCCAACCATGTATAGACAACGGCTCTGGTCTGGCCGTTTACCTCAAGTCTGAGTTTATATACGGCCGTACTATGTGCGGTCTGAAGTGTTCAGTTGACAAAGGCCCATATTCGCCGATGCGACGTGGCTCCGCCGATGACATTTACGTCGTTCCCGCCCCTGAAGTGCTTACTTTCGGCGCGGCCACGCTCCTCTCAGCCGCGTGCTGTGTCCCAGCTATCCTTCATATGGTTTCAACATGGGATAAGATTCTCAAGAACAACTGGAAGGAGCGCTTTGGCGATCCAGACACCGATGGGCTCGAGGGCGCCAACGGCGCTACTATGAAGGGCGTTAATAGCAAAATTCGGGAGTTCCTTAGTGTTGTGGAGGTTCCAGTGTTTGCCGGGGCCGTTATCGCCATCATTATCTTCGGTGAAAGGAACTTCTTTAGCGGCCCGCTCGACTACCAGACAGAACCTATACAAAACGTAGGTAAGTAACACTCTAGCCAGGCTTGTCCTGACCCTCATCTGGGGAGACGGGAGATGACCATCTGGACTAACGTATTTTCCTTCAGGCCAGTGGGCTCCCATAGTTGGAACAGGTTTTGCCGCTATTGGATCCCTTTACATGCTCCTAGCCGAACGCCACGCGGCAAAGACCATTCCCGATCATTGTTCGCACAATTGCGATTCCTCGATTCGCGGACGCAGCAGAAGTCGTGGGGATTCCCACAGCGATGTACCGGAGGCCGTGGAGCTCCCACGAGCAGCAGTGATAGCGCCGGCCAAGCTTCCCAGTCGGATCACATCATCCAGCCGTGATCTTGCTCCAAGCCGCACCTTCTCACGTTCGGGTCATAACGCGGTCTATGAGGACGAGCTACAGCATGGGCTCGGAATTCTCCACGTGACGGACTCCCACCCGGACGGCACAGGGAAACGTGCAGAGGTAAGAAGGATGTTGAGCAATATTGCTCACCAGCTAGGCACTGCGGCACCTGACCGGCATGACGATCACGACTTCCGAAGCGGCAAAGCCACCGGCTTCCCAGTAGTGCCTGGGGAGGAATCCCGAAATCCCGACTTGGTTCGGATCAGGGAGGAATGGGGCCATACAGACGCAGACGATGACGGCGCCATAACCCCGCGGGGTAGGCGTTCAAGGGCTGGCAGCTTCAATGGCAGTGTGTCTGGTGCCGCAGGCGTGACCAGATCCCTTTCAGCGACACGGAGAGCACAATCACCACCGCATTCAGGAAAGGCATTACGTCCTGCCAGTTCGACATTGCTTGCACTACCGGCTAGCAGTCCCGGTGGCAGCCACGAATTGACGCCTAGCCCAATTGTTGCCACCCCTCCCTCACCCGAAGCGAGCAGGCCAAAACCACTAACTAGGGTGGTCACTCTCCACAGTGGGCAAGATTCGCCGTCCATTGTTGTATCGTCGGAGGCAGAGGCCAATGATCCATCCGATTCGGAACCTGCATCTCCGCTTGTTTCAATCAGTGACCCGCCTTGAAGACAGGAAGCAGGCGAACAGAGCAGTTCACAACGACAAAAACAAGCAGCAGCCTACGAATGCCGCATCCAGCGGGAAACGGGCGCTTAACAAGACCGGCATCTTCTAATAATCAGGAACCAGACTATGTAGGGTCGTGGTATGAAGAAAAACGCTGATCTTTGAAATGGTCTAAGCCCAGCTGGGCTTCATCATAACGCGACCAAAGTCGCCTTCGCCCGTGACGGGCCTGACGGCCATAAACGTCACGATGTCTGCAGCGATGGACAAGGGCCCCTGACTCCGGCCCCTTTCCGGTCAGCCTGGCCGGGCAAGGCAATACCTACAGACAGTTGTCCTTGCCGAGCCCTCGAGCGTGAGCGCAGTCAATTCAACCAGTCCGTGACTGGTGCGGCTGACAAACAGCACAGCGAAGAGGCGCGGTTAAACGGACAAACTGCTGAGTCTGTACGGACTGCGGAGGACTTCCAGAGTTGCCCTTCAGTGAAACACTGATGCGGCTCGGCAACCGCACCAATGAGAAAACCTCCGAATTTATTCGATTGGGTTCATCTCTGCTCAAACCTATCCTGGCCGTAACCAGTACAACGTCTCGTGATGCAACCTGGCTGTACACAAATCTGTCGATCCGAGCCCGATTCGGTCAGGAGGACCCAGACCGCCGGTCTGGGCAGCCGGCACATCTCTAGGAGATCGCCGGGACAGGGTTAGGGGATTCTATTGCACCCCACCCCTCCCTACCAAGGTCCGCAATACCCACCTAGGATCACTCCTTTAATTTATGCTGAATTCACTCGTCGATTCATCGACACCGAAGTGACGGATAACCTGGTGGAGTTACTCCACGAATAGGTTATTTCTCGTGTTTATGGACCCATTAGGCATCATGGCAATTCCTTTCGGCGGACCTTATAAGGTCCAGTCTTCCATCGGCTTGCTCGATCTCCTTCGATGCTCAGACAGCTCAGTTCATCCCCCTCGAGGCGGAAGCAAGGAACACGACTCGGACGAGACCTGTTAGCCCCAGTAGAGTCATTTCTATCGCTCACATGATGCTCGCCGGTATTACTCTGCTGGCTTCGGCGGCGGCCGTCGCGGCACAGTCATGCGCTCTCCCATCGACTTACCGTTGGACCTCGACGGGACCGTTGGCCCAGCCGAGGTCGGGATGGGTCTCGTTGAAGGACTTCACCACGGTCCCCTATAACGGCCAGAACCTGGTGTATGCGACGACCCATGACACGGGATCGAGCTGGGGGTCGATGAACTTTGGCCTCTTCAGGAACTGGACTGATATGGCCTCGGCAAGCCAGAACGCAATGAGCTTTTCCGCGGTTGCGCCTACACTCTTCTACTTCGCCCCCAAAAATATCTGGGTGCTCGCCTACCAGTGGGGTCCGACCACATTCTCGTATCGGACTTCAAGCAATCCCACCAACGCGAACGGATGGTCATCGCCCCAGCCACTGTTTACCGGCACCATCTCGGGTTCCGACACAGGCCCCATCGACCAGACCCTCATTGCCGACAACCAGAACATGTACTTGTTCTTCGCAGGAGACAACGGCAAGATCTACCGGGCCAGCATGCCTCTCAATAATTTCCCAGGCAGTTTCGGCAGCGCGTCGACGGTCATCATGAGCGATACAAAGAACAACCTGTTTGAAGCAGTGCAGGTCTACAAGGTCCAGGGCCAGAACCAGTATCTCATGCTTGTCGAGTCGATTGGGGCCAACGGGCGCTACTTCCGTTCCTACACGGCCACCAGCCTGGCGGGTTCGTGGACGCCACAGGCCACGTCCGAAAGCCGGCCCTTTGCCGGAAAGGCGAACAGCGGTGCCACCTGGACCAACGACATCAGCCACGGCGATCTGATTCGCGTCAACCCGGACCAGACTATGACGGTTGACCCGTGCAGGTTGCAATTGCTCTACCAGGGACGCGCTCCCAACTCGGGCGGCGATTACGGAAAATTGCCCTACCGCCCGGGCGTGCTCACCCTGGTAAGATAAGGTCCTAGGCGCTCCTGTTCATGTTGTCGACGTTCATAAAGGTTGGCTGTCTTTTGGTGGTGGACGTTTGGCAACTGCCTAGTACTTCATGGTACTCTGTTCTAGCGTTTGAGCTTGAGGACCTGGTGGCGGAGAGAAGGTGATCAGCCAAGATTGGGGGCGGTTGCAGGTTGTGGTGCTTACCTGTCTAGGTGGCATCGTCAGCATCTGTTGAGATAAGTATTGGCATTCATTAGTACCTATTGACTACGTACATATTTTGGTTTCAGTAAATATATTTTGGTTGAATCAAGTCGCTTGGCGTATCATACATCTTGGCAGTTGTTGTGCCAAGTTCCTCGTCGACACAGCCTCATTCTGCTTCGTCACGTCCCGGGCTCGGGAAGTTGGACTTGTGCGAACGAAGCATCCAAGACGGGAAGTGTTCTGCGAACCGAGCATCCAAGACGGGAACGCGGGGTGATATGCAGCGAACAGAGACAACCCTATGCATTACGAAGCATAAGGTGCCTAGATATCTCACAACCCCTTATAGCTGGGCCTTGCAGGCTTGCACGCTACAACTGCTCGACAGCGAACATCTTGTTCAATGTTACTGTGTTTGTTGACTTGTTCTTTCTCATCTTGAGTCTTACCACTTGGTCCACTTCCATTGACACCGACCTACACATCGGACAACCATGAACTTTTGCAAGAAATCCGTCTCCTTCAACGCAGCGCGGGACATTCCTCCCCTCGACGGCAAGGTCATTCTCGTGACGGGCGGCAACATCGGCCTGGGCAAGCAGTGCGTGCTGGAATATGCGCGCCACAATCCCGCGCAAATCTGGCTCGCAGCCCGCAACCTCGACAAGGCCAGAGCCGCGGCGGACGAGATCAACGCGCAGCTTCCCAAGGACAAGCCCTCACCGACGATCAAGCTCCTCCAGCTCGACCTCTCCTCGCTTGAGTCAGTCCAGACCGCGGCTCGTACCGTCCAGGCCGAGTCCACCCGGCTAGACATCCTCATGCTCAACGCCGGCGTCATGGCTGTCCCGCCTGGTCTGACCAGGGACGGATACGAACTCCAGTTTGGGACAAACTACCTCGGCCATGCACTACTGGCTAAGCTACTGCACCCCCTGCTCGAGCGCACCGCTGCTGCTGCCACTGTCCCCGAAGCCGACGTCCGTATCATCATGCTGTCCTCCCACGGCCACGTATACGCGCCAAAACCCGAAGGCATCCGCTTCGAGACGCTGCGGACCACGGCCGACGCGCTGGGGCCGTACGGGCGGTACGGCCAGAGCAAGCTGGCCATGATCCTCTGGGTGCGGCACATGGCAAGGCTGTTGGATCCGCAGCGGTTCACAGTCGTCGCGATCCACCCGGGCATTGTGCGGACGAATTTGATGAATAATGCGACGGGGTCGCCGCTAGCTGTTCGTGTCCTGGGCAAGGTGGCGAGCCATCTTGTGACGCCTGTGGATCAGGGGGTAAAAAACCAGCTTTGGGCGTCGGTCAGCAGGGAGGTGCAGTCGGGGGAGTACTACGAGCCGGTTGGGATTGCCGGGTGTGCGACGGAGTTGGGAAGGGATGATGCGTTGGCGGAGAGGCTTTGGGAGTGGACTGAGAATGAGCTCGCGAGGTTTGTTGGTACCTAGGGTGTGTTATTTTGATATCATTGTACTACTAGTTAGTACCACAGAATGGGCATAATGGAATGGGTATTATTCTCTCCTCTTATATAACTCTAACCATTGCCCTTCGATCCCCTCTCACTACAATTACAGTCATGAATAACTACACCCCCCTAGAAAGTCTTGTTCTTCCCCTTTATCCCGAAGGCCGGCCCTTCCTCACCTGGACTTCCCCCATTATGCCGCCGCCTCTCCAGGTTCAAACTACTACTGCTTGCCTTAGGGGTGCCTAACTGGAACGCCCTCCCCTGCCCATCAACCGTCTTGTCCTTGTTAGGCACTGGCGGAGGGGACGCAACCTCCCCGCCTGCATCCCGATGTGTGTATCCCTCCAGGCCCAGCCCCTGAGCACCCCGATCATGCAGGGATACCTCCGAATTGGTCTTTGGTAAAACGTCATCATGGCTGTTGTAGTCCTGCAGGCCAAGGATTCGCAATTCAGGGAGCAGAGGCGAGGAAAAGGAGCCGAGCGGGGCGAGATAGGGCGTGCCGTCCACGCTGCGGTTAGTATACTCGTTGGTCGGGATATAGGATGGCAGAGGCGGAGTTCTTCCGCTTGCAGACGGGGTTTGCGGCTGTGTATGCGGGTGTTGCGGTTTGGTCAACGTCCCTGTTGATCTAAAAGCAGAAGCAGACGCTCGCTGACCTCCGGATTTCACGCTATGAGCTGGGGCCGAGCTGCCTGCTGCTGTGCCTGTGCATGTGCTGCTGCTGCTGTGGGAGTCGAGCGGGATGGTGTACATGATATTGGACGAGGGAGGGGTCGGGGTGCCGTCGGGCCACTCGCTTATGGCGACGCCAATCAATGTTTTGCTCTTGCCGTCATTGTCGTGGGAGTCACTGGCTTGCACGGCCGTGCTGCTCGCCCCTGGTGAGCGAGGTTTCCGTTTGGAGGCGAGATACTCGAGCCGACTGGCGCGTTTGCGGCGCGCGTGGATGCGCTCTGCGAGATGGTCAGATTGAATGATGGAAAAGGGGTAGTTGGCAGATTTACCGCTGAGGATGGTGAGGAAGGTGAAGACGGTCAGTGACATGAGCAGCAGTGGAACGAGTTGGCCAAAGGTGGAGGGGTCGTTTTCGGGATTGATGTTGCGGACACGCTCAAGCCTGACAGTGTAACCTGGTCAGTTCGTCTCCCATAGCAGTCTCGAACATGGAGTCCGTACCAGACCGAGTGGTCCACCCAACGACGGAGCTCAAAGACGTATAACGCGGAGTCGATGACCGTCCACGCCGATATCCCAATACCCGCGAGCAGATAGAGACCGAACAGGAAATAGAAGAAGCGCTTGGCTTTGAAGAGAAAGGGTAAGGTCTTCCCAACCCTCGCAATGAACCTTTTTCGCCGACCATTGTGGCCGGTCCCGCGGCGGATGACTCGCCCTAGACTCACCAGAACAGCAATGATAAAGAAGAGGAACATGATCAGAAAGTTGGTCCACCCGTGTATCTGTCCGGTGAAGAAGGCTTGGAACGAGCCCGCTTCTAGTGCATTCTTGATCTCGCTGCCAAACAGGAACTCGCCGGATTGGAAGCAGGCAGCTGGGAGAAGCATCAAGTTGTATTGGTCGGTCATGGGCGGGACCTGAGTAGGGAAACCGAGAGACCCATCGCCCTGGTTCGAGAGCAGCACGCCAGTAATCACGTAGACGAGGGTCGTGACGATTATGCGCAGGATGCCAACGTATGGGTGCTTCCAGTAGTGCTTCGACACGGTGACAGCCATCAAGTGAGTGGCACAGGTGACAAGGAGTATGTTTGCCACGACATTGTAATGCTGATCAGTGATCACCCATCAGCCTCGAAATCTGAAGTCAGAAAGGGCAAAAAAGGGGCAGCTCTGGTTGTGCATACGTATGCCGAAATGGAGCACGCCTTTGCGTAGCGCAGAGTAATGGCATAGGCGCCGCCCGTGAACACCTGCTGGTCTGAGAGCGTTAAACAGAGTGTTTCGAGGATGCCGGCGATGCTGATTTGCCAGTTTTTGAGGGCCTTTTCCCTGAAAAGGGTAAGTAAGCACTTGCATGATACCTAGCGCATGAGTATCGCTGTGACTTACTCCCTCGTGATGCGTAAGTGCGGCTTCAACACGTACTTGATGGACCACCAAAACATGTTGGCGACGGACAGCAGCAGCGAGAAGACGGTGGTGGTGAGAAATGCACCGAGGACCTTTTGGAGTTGTTGTCTGTTCGTCAGTCAAGCCAGCACCTGGCAGCAAAAGGGTCAGACCAGCGTACCCCAATTCCAGCAATGTCGGGATCTCCTGAGAACCGGCCGGGGGTGCTGTCGCCGAGCGCGATTGCCGTCAATCCGTCATCGGACCGGATGACGGTGCAGTTCGGAGGGGTGCCGTAGTGCGCAGCACAATTCGCCGTCGAGACGTAAGCGCCCATGATTGCAACTTTCGTCCCCAAATCACAGCGGCGAGGGACTGTCGAGTGTTGACACAGAGAGGATGCCGACGAAGCCTATCACTAGCACGGTGAGTCGGCGACACTGACAACTTCAAGTGCCCAGCCGGGGGACTGTCAACATGATGCGGCTCTCTGAGCCTTAAAAGTGCTGGTAACACCGCTGCTAGACGCCTGCGTAACCATTTCCCACTTGGAGGTGTATTTCCCAATCCCTGCCTTGTCTGCCACACCAGATATCACAGCTGTTCCCAACGATCTGGTGAGAATTTGTGGCATCTGGTCTGCCTGGAGGCTGTAGTAGCATCGTGTCTGACCTACCTGCACCAGTGCCACCAGAGCCGCGTTTGGACACCACCCCGGTCCGCCACAATGCAAGCCGCTTTTGTTGGCCGTTTGTCGTGTTTGATTGAAAGCATGGTTGGAATCTGCCCGAGTGTCCAACTGAAGTCCCAAGCGAGGGTACAAGGATGTACATCGCTCCTTCCTTAGTGCCATCTGGGAAGCTGCGAGCCTGCGAGGTAGGTATGGTGCATGTAGTGTACTGTACCTGCTTGTATGGTTGTACATGGCATTGCTGGCAGATCGCGCCACATGCTGGCCAGCAGGAGGTCTACCAATTAGGTGCGGGGTTCTCGCAGCCCCCAACCAACATGCCGGAACGGCAGGGACCGTGCAGCACATCAAACTCGTAGAGACAGAAGATGTCGGCACGGGAGGGGCACATATCGGCGAGATGAGACCGTCAGGCCGACAATTGCGATGGATTTCCCACGCGGCCTTTTCAGCTCTCTCAGCCTTGTGAACGAACCCGAAGTTCCGAACGTTTTAGCGCAGAGTCCCGGACCTATTCTGGTTGTTTGCCCATATCCTTATTTCCTGGTTGATATGTGCAAGCAACCTTCTGTTCGGTGAACTTGTGCGACCATGGTCAAAACCAGCCCGCATGTCAGCGGCTTCACCCTCTTAAATCCGAAATCGCCGTCCGCCGTTAGTGTAAGGGAACTTGGACGGCGCCTCTGTTCGACGGAGTGATCCTAGCAACGATCGATCGGCTCCCTTATGAATAACTGGTTGATACGCTGGGCTATACCTACCGGAAATGCAAAGAATTCATCAATAAACGATCAACGGCTCGATGCCGGCCCATGGGCACAATGAATTTTTTTTGATGTTGGGTCTTGGCTCCTTGGGAGGCGAGGGGTTACGGGGTGGTGCCCCACATTTTCAGAGCGTGCCAGCCTGCCAGTGCAGCAATCAATTTCTGACAATCATGGTCACTCTCCCATCCATCGCCCCCAAATTCTCACGCCATGGCCGCTCTGGGGACCAGGTTCTCGGCTTTTGGGGCCCCCGTCTCCGTCTGCCCAAGTCGCACGGTTTCTGTCCAGCTTCGTAGTAGTCTCATTCACTAAAATTGTAGAAAATTTTCTCCACAAATAGAAGGGGAGCTTGGCTCAGTTGGAAGAGCGCAGGTCTCATACGATAGTGTGTGATCTGGTTTAACACCAGAGAAATCCTGAGGTCGTGAGTTCGAGCCTCACAGTTCCCATTTTTTTTCCCCTTTCTTGAAACCGGAATCATTCTCTATGAGCCCAGAACTGCCTCAAAGTTTCTTGTTGTTATCTTTTTATGTAGCCGGACTCGGCCTACAGCGTCTGGAAGCCGATTTTCCACATGTCGGCATACATCTAACAAGTAACAACGCTCCCGGGCTCCTTGATCTCCTTAAGGCTTCTCTTTTCTCCTTACGGCTACACATGGGTACACTGATAACTAGACACGAACTTCGAGAATTAGTGGTGATATTGAAGGTCAAAAATCTCCTACCCATGACGCTGGGTCGACGAGGAATTGCTTTGTACAAATCATTATCTGCATACTATCCGTATTTCTCTCACCCATCAATTTCCTTGACAATCACCCCTTACACCAACCCTCACCGTCCTCCGTAGCCCAATCCGCCGCAACCATCCTCTCTCATATATGCGAGCCAGCTAATTGCCCATCAACTGCTGTCTCAAAACCCGCTGCTTGAATGACTGCGGCGAGAAAAACCCGCGCTCACCCCCACCAGCACATACATCTCCATCCCCATGCCCACACCCATCCATGACTGTCCCAAACCCATCCTCAGTAGCAGAGCCATCCAGTACCCTGGTATTGACCCTCAGCGTAGGCTTGTAAGCGCGCAACTCCTGTCGAGCAGCAAGAGCCACCTGTCCTGGGGAAGGCAAACTCCGCGTGCTGCTACCCGTAGGAGAAACATATTCCGACAATTCGGAGCTCCCTCGCTTCGGCTCAGACTCGACGGTGTGCTGCTCTTTGCCAAGTTGCTGTAAGCGGCAGAGAGCGGTACTGCTGCTGCTGCTGCCGCTGCTGCTTCTGCACTTGCACTGGTCTGGTTCGCACTCGCATATGTCGCAAGGCATTCCAATCCCTGAATCGCGGGGGTCGCGGGGGAGGGTCGTAGTGGTCTCGAGATCGGCGGGGGGGAGCGACGGTCTTGCTTCCCCAAAGGGGTGTTGTATGCTGGATAATGGTGCTGTGCCCGTTCCATGGTGATGTGCAGGGGGCTGCTTTCCGGTTTTGAGCGTGACGGGGATGAAGGATGCAATTCCGTGGCGTCTCGTGACACTTGCTCTGGTCTCTTCGACAGCTGCTAATGTCTGGTCCGGTGCGACTGGATGACTGCGGTGTGGTATACCGCCAGGTTGAAGCAAGGTGCTTCTTCTTGATCTACGGTTTGGTCGCCTTGGTGGTATTGGAACGGATTCCCCAGCCGATGTCGAGCCGCAGAGCGCCAAGGATTTCCGCATCATATCAGCGCGGTGAGTCTCAAAAATCAAGTCCAGTTGGCCGGTAACGAAACTGCAGTAATGATCATCGATGGTGTCTGGGAGCAGGAGCCGCAATTTTTCTCGTAGACTCGCCTTCAGTGCCTCCTGTCCCTGGTCGAATACGTGATCGACCTCGGCGAGTTCGATAACAGGCTGAAAGTCTGCAGAGAGGGTTAGCTAGGCACCAAACAAGGTGTGGTAAGATCGTACCAGAATGCGGAATCTCCGTGTCTTGAGGAAATAGCAGCCGCCATATCCTCTCCCAGGTCCAGTCCTCCGCGTAGGTAGTACCATCGGCAGTTAGTACCTCTTCTGTTTCCTCTGTTATCCCATTCTCGGGATCGCCTAATGCAGGCTTGGGGTTTACTTCGCACATTTCATCCCTGGGGAGCATCATATGGCGCTCGAGCGCTGCCTCGGCTTCGAATTCTGCAAGACAGCGTCGACAGTGATACCTGGGTCTCTTGCGTCTGTGGTGTGAGACGAGATGGCATCTGTCTGTTTATGAGCAATCGCAGCAGCATCGGACAGAATGCCCACCTACCTCAGCTCATACATGGAGTTGAACGGAGCGTTCGCGCAGCGCCCATGATCACGCACATTGAATCTAACCGGGTTCCGTTTCCTAAACGGGCAGGGATACTGTGTTCTGGGGCTGTCCTCAACGCTGTTGCTCGCCGTATCCATTAAAGTCTCGGTCTCCCATTCGAAGCTCAGGTGCTCACGACTTGCGGCCTCCTCTGCAGACTCGAGTTTTGATTCGGTGACAGGAGCTGTGTTCAGGACCGATGACCGCTGTGGTAGACTTTCCCGGCGCAGAGGCCGGACGAACCTTGCCTGGCCGGCTTCACCGGTTGCATCCCTTGGCCTGCTCAACGGAAGAACTTGCACAACAGGAACCCGCGTGTCTAGCCTGGACGGGAATTTTCCGAGGGACATGGTGGGAAGGCGTGTATCCCGAGCCCCATTCAAAGGTAGGGACTCGCATCGAAGCGACCGACGGCCAGACGTGCGATCCGGCACGAAAGAGAACCTCTTTTGACGGAAGTCTACTCGGGTCGACGTCGACGCAATGCTCCAGACCGTCTGATGCCGACTGTCGCTGGGACCGAAGGCTAGAACTGACATGGATGATGTGTTAGGAGAGAAATGACTGTAAACACGCAGAAACTGAGAGCAAAAGTGAATGAAAACGCGGAGGTTCCCGCCTGGTGAGGCTCATGGACCGAAGAGACGGTTGAGACATGGTCCGGGGGACTTACGAAGTACATGCGCCACCTTTGACTGGGTAAGGCGTCGGAAAGGCCAAATGAAGATGTGGAAACCTCCATTTCGAAATAGTAAATGGGAAGAAAGAAAAGCGTTAGACGCCTCAATGAACGGAAGGAGCGGGAACTGCAAGGTGCGATGCAATTTGTTCGGCGGACGCTGGAGCGGCAGCGAGGACCAGGGCTCGACGATAGACCCTGGTCGCCGTGCCCGATCCGCGCTCCCGTTGGTCAATGCCGGCATTTCCCCCTCAGCCCATCAGCGGCTAGACGGCCTGAACCGGTGCCCTGATTCGATGTCCACCTCGCTGATAATTTGTTTAGGTACACTGACTTTCAATACTAATCGGTCCTCAGTGAATACCGGTATTTTGTTTTCTCATAGCTGTGTTTGGAACTTTCCAGACTCGTGCAGGTTATAGGTGAGTGGGGCGCGACACGCGACGCGAGAGACGCGCAAGACGGGCACACAGTGGCTATGACGTCATCACCCAGTACGTCGTCAATTCCCATGGCAACACCATCGTAGGCGTTGGGAACTCCCTAACTGCAGTATAAATAGGTACAAGCACCAGATTCCTGCCCGCCAAAGTCTCTTTTTCATCATTTGATGTACGATTGTCTTCTGGATGTCGAGCAGTAGGAGATACCACACTTCTTGCTCACTGGTTGCAGGCGATATGATGCTGCCGCCAAGACGATGGCGCTCGCTAGATACACCGTTCTCTCGAATAGCCGTGTGGTTTGTCGGGGTCAATGTACGGTTAACCCTACGATGCCTCTTAGTATTCCTCTGTACGGATCCAACCACTTGTGAGGTATTCGGAAGCAACGACATACCTTAACCAAGATGCCCGTCTGCTTAGATCTCAGCATTTGTAGCGGCATCCGCAATGAGCTTCGGTAAACAGCCGCAACTCGCCGAATGAGCTAGTTTAGTGCCTTGATTGTAGACGCAATTGATATGATGGAAGCTCTGGAGCCAGATCGCCGCAGTCGAGATCGGCGGCTCCTCAGGCTGAGGCCCCTCTTCACTGCCGGCGCAGAGTCATCGCGGATGTCTCCGCAAGCCAAGGGGTTCTTGTTGAGGTCGGTTGAAACCGCCTTGTCCAGACCGATTGAGCGCAGAAACGCGACTCGGACACCTCCCCGAGACCTCATACTGCTCTTCAGCTTCTGGAATAGGGAGCGGTCCTCTCTGGCGTCTTGGACAGCGGTCTCGTTCGGGATTTGCTCTGCCTGATCAGGTCGGTTCTCTCTGGCGTCTTGGATAGCGGTCTCGTTCGGGATTTGCTCTGCCTCTTCAGGTTCCTTTATGCCCACTTCCGCCTTCACGGCTTCCATCAGTTTCGTATCGTCTGTCCACTCGTACTGCTTCACTGCCGACTCGCGATGCTGAGCCTTTTCCTCAACTCCCCGGCGACTGTCTTCCATCAGTTTCTTCTCGTCGATCCACCGATATCGGTCCATTGCCGTCTCGCGATGTCTGGCTTGACGGTCGTGAGCAGGGCCAGCGTTTTCTAGACGCGCCCGATGAGCTATCTCGGCTTTCATCATCTCTCTTCGGGCTTGACGGTTGTCACCGGGGCCAGCGTTTTCATAGTAGTTTTCTCGACGTGCCCGATGAGCTCGCTCTCCCATCTCGGCTTTCATCATATATCTTCGGGATAGACGGGCGCCACCAGGGCCAGCGTTTTCCCGACGAGCGATATGAGCTCGCTCTGCCTGTTCAGGTTCCTTTATGCCCATCTCGGCTTTCACGGCTTCCATCAGTTTCGTAATGTCTGTGAACCCGTACCGCCGCTTCACTGCCGACTCGCGATGCTGAATCCTTTCCTCGACTCCCCGGCGACCGTACATGCTTCTCTTCTCGAGCAATGGTGAACAGCCCTTCTTTGAGCAATCGCTGCACAGATATGAGGAACGAAAGTGTTGATGTTCGTACGAAATATCATGGCAGGGCGGGAGACCATGACCGAAGGGGCAGAAGGCGGGCGACAGGAAGTACTCGTCACACCAGTTGTAGTGTCCAGTGTCGATGGAATACACGATCTTGTATCCTTCCTCTTTGTTGATCGATGGATCGGCGGCGCTCGAGGGGTGACAGTTGGGGTCCTGATTGCCACATGGGCACCAGAAGTGAATGAAGGTGCCTGTGCACATTTTCCTTATCCCAAGTCGAATCCTTAATCGTTTTGAAGATTGATGAGGTGATGAAGATCGATGGAACGATGATGGAAACTGGAAACCGGGACTGGAGGTTTGTGGTGACGGAAAGATTGTGTGGTTGACACCCGGCTGTTGGGATGAAAATGTGAACATGGCAATTCATGTTTCGTAGAAGAAGAAATCAGAGCAAGTATATTTTCTACCACTCGTGATAGCCCTTAAGTTCAGGAATTGCCAGCGGCCTTGCAACCGAACCTCACATCAGTACTGTACGCCAATCTTAACAGAGGATCGCGCAGCATAGCCGTGATCCACAGCGGTCTCCTCCCTTTTACTCATTTGAGATGAGTTACGGGCATCCGTTGACCGCTATTGAAGACAACGAACATATGATATTGATCAGATGACCACAGTTCACGGAGGAAACCTGAACGAAAGATATAAATAGAGTTGCCTACCTTACTAACAAGGATTTCCAAGAACCTGTACCAGAGGCCCGCGGAAGCAAGTTCCTGGTAGCTACATATACCCCGACAGGGACGCCGTCGTGTGAATTGAACCCGCAACCTCTGTTGAGAGACTAATCAATGCCCTTAGGCCAACAACGTTTGTTCTTAGGCGGTGCTAGGAGATTCCTGGATGGGGTTATCCAAAGCCGTGACGGGTTCGGGAAGGGGGCAGGCAGGCACGGGGGTAGTTGCCCTGGACATCAGGGTACAGTACATGTGTACCTTCCTTCATCTTAAGGTTTGAGCAGTGATCAACGGAGTAAACGATATCCAACAAACTCGAGTCGATTGTTTTTACTTCTTTCCTTGTTCGTCACCAAGCAAAGACAACCAGCTTCTCCCCCGAGACAGAACCAGACCGCAGCTGCGACAGACCGTCAACACTTTCGAACCCCCGACCCACAACACGGGTCGGGTGCGATTTTGAGCAAGGCTGTGTTCAGAAACTCTTGAAACTGAGCAAAAGCCTGACAGTCAAAGCGTGCTTCTCAGCGCTTGCCGGCTGCCCGTACTCCCCTTCCAGCGCTACCGGCCTCCCAAATCCTTCCAGCGACATGACAAACTCGGCCTTGACGGAGCCTCATTAGTCAAATCCCTGTTCCTGCCGCGGAAGCAACCGAACCCAGAACTGCGGTTTGCTCCACATGCCGTACATGCGAAACGCGTCCTCAAAAACGACCGGCTTTTGGCCGGGCACGGGCTCGACGTCAAACGACCAGAGCACCTTGGCAACAAACAGCCGCGTCTCGCGCCACGGAGGCCCATACCTGGACACGAGCGCGGGCCCTGACTGAAGGGAAAGAAATGCTCCGTCGCGTCGCTTGCAAACGCCGGGTCCCACGCCGGATGGTCAGCCGGCAGCCAGCGCTGCGGGCGGAAGCAACGCGGCTCGTGGAAGTAGCGCGGGCTGCGCGTAAAAGCCCAGTGCGCGTACTGCACACCCACGCCGCGCGGTATGTGGTGTCCGTCGACGGTGGCGCCGGGACTGACGCGCGGCAGCCCACCGCCGCCGATGAAGGTGAGGCGCAGCGTTTCGAGCAGCGCCGCGTGGAGCAGCGGCAGGCCCGCCAGCGCGTCGGGCGTGATGTCCTCGTACCGCGCAAACGCGGAGCGGATCTCGTCAACCAGCTGCTGGTGCAGCTTGGGCTCCTGCAGCGAGAACATGAGCGTGCACAGGAACTGGCTCGAGATGGGCTCGTAGCCGGCGATGAGTAGTTGCGCGGCCACGACCTCGAGGTGCTTCTTCTCCCTGGGCATGGGATCCGGCGCCGACGCTGGCGACAGCTGGTCGAAGTGATCCGCGTGCTTGGTTGCGCCGCGTTGGGCGATGCGTTGCTCGAGCTTGGCGCGGTTGAGGCTCCGGGCGCGGAGCTCGCTCACGATGGCCGCAGGGGGCACGAAGGCGTATTGCAACGGCGACAAGAGGGGGAATCTGTGGAGGATCTGGTGGATGGCAACGAAGAAGTTGACGCCCCACAGGGAGTCGAGAAAGGGCGCGGTCTTTGCTGTGTGTAGTTGAAGTGGTTAGGTATTTACCATGGTCACGACAAAACTCGAGACCCGGAGGGAGCAGAAATTGCAACGGCTGCTGCTTACCTCGCTCTACCTGGTGCATCTCGTGCCCATAGGCCAGCTCTGCCGAGATGTCCATGGCAACCCAGTCTGTCCACTGATGATAAAAATCAGTACGTGAGCGGCAGAATCGTCATCTGATTCGTACCGTCCTAAGTTCTATACCGCCTTGTTGGCCTCCCACCTCCCTCATTTTCCAGACAAACAGGTCAATGTACTTGTGCATGGTCGGCTCCTTGGACCTGATGGACTTGACGCTAAACGCCGGGGCAATCCTTTTGGCAACGTCGCGGTGCTTGGCCGGGTCTGTCTCCCAAGTGAGGCCTTTGTCTCCTCCACCGAGATCCACAAATTTTGCCTTGGGGAAGTGCTCCATGTGTTTTGTGTGCGAGGCGTATATGTCTGAGCGTCCGCGTAAGCTGTATGCTCTGGTCCCGGGTGTTTATTTTTGCGTACCTGATGCAGCCTTGGGAGAGATGAAGACCAGTTCGTTCGGGCCTATACGGACAACGTCTCCTGAACAAAGTGGCCACGTTCTGTGTTGGCAAGCATGCTCATTTCCTTGGAGAGAGTCGTCTTGGGCTCACCATATTTGTTCAAGGCCTTAGCAATTGCCATGGGATATTTTCCTGTTACCCTGAGCTAGGTTTTCAGCACAGGGAGACGGTATCCTTCGATCACATTGAAGCACCTACCAATAATACGCATACCACACGTTTGAGATCGCCGCAAGCTTGGGACCGGGAAACCTAGAAGCGGGATGTAGATACAGGTGGTAGAAACAGCGAACTGACGCGTACAGCGAGACCTAAGGTTTGGCCAGTTCCATGTCCTGATTAGTATTCAATGCGGAATATCTGTTTGAACTGGCTCAGGTTCGCCTACAGCGCCCAAGGCGAGGGTCGTCCATTGGATGGCCGTGATGCCAGCCACGCATTCGAGAGACTCCCGGAGAGGGAATGCCATGGCGGTGGGCAAAAGCTGCGAGGGCCGTGTATGGACAACACTGACAAAAAAACCTGGAAAACTGTTCGACTGTCTGGAGACTGACGTTGACATTTAGAGTGTTGGGACGGGCGGGGAGACGAGACCAAGAAAAGGGAAAGTGCCATTTGCCTTTCATGCAGTTGGTGGCCAACTTGCCAGGCACGGCATCGGTTGGCACCCTGTGCCGATGTATGTACATACAGTACAGCACAAACTGTGCAGATGCACTTCAAGCCGGTACCTCACATTAGTAGGAGTTGTCGTACGAAGTAGGAACTTAGTAAGTCTAATTGTTGTTGCGAGACAAGGGGATGGCCTGATAGGTGGCTTGCCCCAAGCCTGCCATAGCAGGATTTTCAGGGTCTGCTCGAGGCAATGTATCGTGCAGTTGCAGTTGTCTAGTAAGATAAAAAGTGCATTGAACTATCTAATGAGTCTAGGAAGTGGAA